TGGAGGGGCGATGCAATGCTGAGCCAAACGTGCCGGGAACTGGGGGCCATCGCCTTCTGGTGGTCTAAATCCCATGGCTACGCCGGACGCGGATCCGGACATTTCCGGACGTGGATCCGGACGGTCTGGATGTCTGGACAGGTCCGGAAATGTCCGGACCATTAATAAAAAAATTAAAAAAACTGAAAAAAAGTATGTTATGCAGAATAACAATACAAATCACTTTTGCCTCAGAGTCATGACAGAATTCCTGACCAAACTTGAGTTAAAAGTCAAAAACTATAAAACAAAAGCTTAAAAAAGACTTTAAAAGGTAATAAAGACTAATAAAAGGTAATGAATTATTAATAATTGAAAAATTGGGGTTGTCTAATAAATTATTATAGAGAGAGAGCATGTCCGGAACCCCCAAAAAAGCATAAACGGGCCAGAAAAATCCCCAAAACAATTTTGGGGGCTTGACTCCTCAATGGGGAAGGGTCCTGGACTGTTTTTTTTTTTTTTTTCCCTCCAAATTTGGCAGATCCGGACCTTCCAGACCGGACGTCTGGAGTCCGGACTGAATCCAGACTGTCTGGACGGCGGTCCGGACGTCCGGACCGTAGCCATGCTAAATCTTGTTAATGAGCTTTTTTGTTTTTCAATTTTTTATTTTTTTTTGGGGGGGGGGAGTTGGGGTGGTGGCTGGGTGTGGAGGAAAAGGGGGGAGATGCTGCTGAGGGTCAGTCTGCTGGTAGGGAGCTGCACCTGATGGTAACCTTGGCTGGCGTCTGTTGTCCTTTTTTTTTTTTTTCTTTTTTTTTTTTTCCAAAGTTCGCGTCTGTTGTCCTTTCGCTTGCTTTGCTTTTCTTTTCGCTTTTTCATATTACACAGAAGTTCTCAGCATGTGTGGGGTGTTAGCGCAGTCGGTAGCGCGTCAGTCTCATACATTGAAAGGAATCTGAAGGTCGTGAGTTCGAACCTCACACACCCCACTTGTAATTTCATTTAATTTCATTCATCCCCTTTATGATGTTTCCAATACCTCATGAAAGTCAACATGGTGGCAAGGAAAATTTTATGTCATTAGTACCAGTCGATGTGGCTGAACGACACACCCATCAACTCCTCTTTTTTTTTTTTTCCTTTTTTTTTTTTCAACTCTTGGGAAGCAGATCGCAGTTCAGAATTTTTTACTATTATTATTATTATTATTATTATTATTATTATTATTATTATTTAAACATGATGTGGAAGAAGCCTGCAGCCTCGTGATGGTAGGAGCGCCAACGAGGTCGAGGGCGGTCTATGGATGACCTCAATCTATTGATGGGGAACTGGACCTGCGGGAAAATGGGTGCAGCGTCGCTTATAAACGAGGCCGGGGGGCTCACTTTTTTTTTTTTTTTTTTTTTTTTTTTTTTTTTTTTTTGGGAACAAGGCTCCGATCTATTTGTGGGGAGCAGCACGTGCTGGGAACCGGGCCCAGCGTTCCATATGGAGATCTACATCCAATTTTGAAAATTTGAGATACCGGGGCCATTACCCGGCTTAGGCTAATTAAATTTGCAGCTACTTAAGAAATTAGTACGACAAACTTCAAAACTGGTTAAAATTCAGAAAACAACTCAGGAGCCCCCCATCAATTCTCTTTTACCTCACTCCGGCAAGACCTACTGCAACAGAGCCACCATCTCCGTTGCTGCTGCACCCTATTTCCATCCTACCAGCTAGCCCCCGCACTAGTAGGACGCTTGATATCCCGCCTTGTCCATCTTTTTCTCCCCCTCACCCAAAAGACTCGAACACCCCCAATCCGTCCCCTGTACCCCACTGCGGCAAGACTTACTTCAGCAGAGCCACCGTCTCCACCGCTGCTGTGCCCTGTTCCCGTCCTACCTGCTAGCTCCCTTGCTAGTAGGACGCGTAATATCCCACCTTCTCCTTCTCCAACTCACCTCGGTCTCTTGAGAAAACGTACGAGCAGTACGAAAAAAACATGGGAAGAGACCTCATGGGTCCGACAGTTGCTCAAAACCCCTTGAAATCCCTGACAAACCTTTCCACACAGTCTACCGGAAATGAATAAAAAAATGGAGGGGTGACTTCCGGAGATTCGCAAAAAGGAGTTATAATTGCAATATGGGGCAAGATACAGTTTGCAATTGCACTTCAGGCACCCTACCTGGCCAGAAAGCTGGGTTGTATACATTGCCCAAACTGCACTTAGAAACTGTATCTAGGCCCATAGTGCAATTATAACTCATTTTTGTGACTCCCACGTAGTTTCCTCTTTACGGGAAGTCTCCAACTCAAGTCTGAAGAGCATAAGCCTCTCTAAATTACCTGGGGTTAAGTCCCACTACCTTCTTCCCCCGAATACAACGTACAGTCATTACAGCTGTATTTAGACTGAAAGACACCCCAGATACAGCTATAATTATGGTTGTATTCGGGAGAAGAAGCTAGCAGGGGCTTAGTCTTCCTTTCGAGTATTTTTCGACGTGGCCACAGTGCCGCCATGATGTGTTCAGATCAGATGGAAACCACTGTGCACTCAGAACCACTGCAAAGACCTGTGTCTATTGCAAAATGCCCCGCGATCGTAGTTATTAAAAAAAGAGAAAACTACGGCGCAGTCAGGGCTTCAGTTTGAAAATGCACTTCAGGCAAGAGGCCTGAAAATGTCGAATGCATACGAGCTAGGTTTCGAGTCCGGTAAAAAAAAAAAAAAAAAAAAAAAAAAAAAAAAAAAAAGGTTGCGGTCCGGTAGGGTAGCGTGGTGGTGTCTTATGTTCAGGGGAACGCGTGAAGTGCATTTTCATACTGTTTCCTTGACTGCACCATGGTTACCCCCTCCGGCCACCAGTACTTGGCCCATACCTCGGCCGCGGCACTTGCCCGTTAACACGCCGCGCCTTTAGGGCTTCGGGCTACCGGATAACAATTGCTGGAGGCGCCAGCCAAAACCAAAACAAAAAGTCGCTCACGGTTTGTTCAGAATAGGCGCGCAGGGTGCTCCGATGCTCGGCATCGATAGCTGGGCCAACCGCTGGTGCTTAAAAATATTATTCTTTGTGTCTTTGTGGTGTGGGTCAGCTCACGTGGTCGAATTGCTTCAGATAGGTCCTGTGTTTGAGGCCCACTCAGCCAGGCTACTCTCTGGCCAGAACTTGAACAGTGCTGATTGTATACCACACATTTGCAAAAAGGATATCTACCTGTAACCTGACCAGATTCAGAGGCTTGGCTGGCCAAAAGAAACTTCCCTGGAGGGCATACCAGAGATTTATGTGGTTGGATTCAAGAGGTGGCACGTCTTTAAAAAAAAAAAAAAAAAAAAAGGGATGCCGGGATGATGACTGTCTTCTTTTTCGAAAGGACGGCCCAGTGCCTAAGGCTTCTATTATCAAATTGAGATACCGGGGCCATTACCTAGCTTGATGCTACTGGTTATGTTGATTTGATAAGAAATGGATTGGCGAATCCCGATTGCGAAGCAGGAATATAGGCCTCAAGATTGACGCCGAATCAGTGGACATCTGAGACAAGATTGCACCTCGGGATCACTGGTATGACGACTGCAGGTGACGATCCCCATCACTAACTCTAAAGTTGGCGCAGCAATCGGTACAGTGGCCATTATTGAAAATGCAATAGTGGTTAGAGCATGGGTTGGAAAATTAATGCGCATTGTGGTATGAGGTTGTGGGTTCAAAACTCCGCAGCCTTGCGCATGGACACCCGCAGGGCGTTAGAAGGGCGCATGGACACCGGCAGGGCGTTAGAATGATGCACAGCTGGACACACACCCCCTTGGGATGACGCAGGTAAGTTATTACAGCCACTGCCTGTGTCCATGGTTCTTGTATGTGGGGACTGGGCAATGGTGGGTAGCCTGATGTTCTTGGTCTACGGGGTTGTCATGAGACTGCTGGGTGGTTTGCATAGTCCGGTTCTTGAGTGCAGCAAAGCACAGCTACAGACTATTTCACAGTGTAGGTCAATAGGTTAGGTCACTTGCATGATTCACATAAGGTCCTGTGTTCGATACCAGACTGTATCTAAGGGCTGGTCATCCTCTTAGTACATGGTCATCGGACTGAGGCTGGCATAGCAGTTCCTTAGTACGGGATGTCGGGAGTGTCAGGAGATACTGCACTTTACTGCAGGGCCGGAACAGGCTCCAGGGACATACGAGGGAACGGAGGATTGTCTGCATTCGGATTATCATACAACACAGGGCTAATAGATGATCCAGGGTCAATACAGACAGTCCATGATTCACGATTGAGGGTGGGCTATCCTCCTAGTACGTAGCTTAGAGTTGAGGCTGGCATAGCAGTCCTTAGTACGGGATGTCGGGGGTGTCAGGAGATACTGCACCTTACCGCAGGGCCGGAATGGGCTCCAGGGGTATACAAGGGAACAGAGGATCCCCATCTCTCTACCATCAACACCATGCTGCCCATTGGGGGGGGGGAGGAGAGAGAGAGAGAGAGAGAGCACTGACAGTGCTGCCAGTCTGAAGACTGACGTTCTGAATTGAACTGCAAAGTTTGAACTTTTAAGTGATATATGAAGTTTTTTTTTTTTTTTTTTTTTTTTTTTGTTTATAGAAAGAGCAAGCTCCATCTATTGGTGGGAAGCAGCACCTGCTGGAAACCGGGTCCAGCGTCCCATAGATACAACCATATCCTCACAAATTGGCACAAACTGGGAACCGGGCCCAGCGTCCCATAACGAGAACGTTCAGAAAACTCGTCAGAAAATTTCATGAAAATGAGACTAGAAAAATCTTGAAAAAACTATGAATAACTGTTGACGTCTTTTCGAATGCTTAGAACCCCTAGAGAAGTTATGAACTTAAATTACTAAATCCAAAGTTCAAAGTTAATCGTACTTTTTTCAAAAAACGAAAAAAAAAAAAAAAAGAACACTGTAGTAAAGACAGAAACTCAGTCCATAACTCATGACCTAGGGTTGGCTATCCTCCTAGTATGTAGCACAGAGTTGAGGCTGGCATAGCAGTTCCTTAGTACGGGACGTCGAGGGTGTCAGGAAATACTGCACCTTACCGCAGGGCCGGAACGGGCTCCAGGGACATACGAGGGAACGGAGGATACTCAGCTCTCTATTATCACCACACAACTAAGCTAGATGGGAGTCACTGCGCACCCTCATGAAGACCTGTAGTAGCATGTTCATACCTAGCTCCCGAAGTCCCCGTGCAGGAGCGCCCAAATTCATCCGACTAAAAACGTTTCTACTCTATTTTTTTCAACGGCCGATAGCTGGGCCAAGTACTGGTGGTCTAAGAGGGGCCAATGGTTGAGAGGAGTCCAAATTCGGCCGTGGCAGGTGGTGCGTTCATCTGGCTTCACAGATGACACATTCATCTCCCTTCGCAGATGACACGGGGGCAATTATACCGCTTCTGACTCAGCAGCTGAGGTCTCTCTACAGGAGGACTTGGGCACGTTCTGTCGTTTCTCAGGAGCCAGAGTTAACTTGAGGGAAATCGAAGGCGATCCTCCCCCCGGAGGTGGAATTCCCAGAGGGGTGAGACACCCCGAAGGTGGCAGAAGGCAAGCGAACACGGTTCATGTGGGCGAGCCAGACCCCGGGATGGGGGGGAGCGGAGCAGATGGCTATGTTGGCAGTTGCAACAGTGGCCAAGTTGACGGCGTGGAGGGAGTCCCATAGGACTAGGGGGCCTCTACCACATGGCTGAGTGCCGAAGGTGACTCTCATATGTCTGTAATCCAGCTCTACAACAACCTGGGCTTAAAACAATAATAATAATAATAATAATAATAATAATAATAATAATAATAGTAATAATGATAATAATAATAATAATATAAAATAATAAATAATATATATTTTTTTTTAATTAAAAAAGAGTTAGCTTGGGCATCTTTGGGAAGGCCCTGGTCATCAAAAACTCCATCTGGGCCACAATATGGTTTGCAGGGGCGATCCATAGTATGCCGGAAAGAACAACGTTCATGTACACCCGCCAAGCCATGATAGCCGTCCACTCTTATCCGTGGTCGAATGATGTGCCAAGTGCCCAAAATTCTATCTGCTGGGGGCCATGGAGGAAGCGCATCCAATCACCAGGGGTGGGAAGTCTGGGATTGCCGGACCCAAGACTGACGATGATGGCGCTGGAGCTCGAGTACCTGATGTGGTACTTATTGGGCACAATTGGAGAGCAGTGGGGCTTGTTGACACAAGGGGACATGGCACACCATGCGTACACCGCCTGAGTTGGCGGATCTCTGCCTTCTAAGCAGCAATCTCATTGGTCATGTAAGGCAAGATACAGTGTGGTCCTCCGTCCCCGGCGTCCCGGGCATATGGAAGAAGGTCCAGCTGATGAACTGGGAACCGCCTTCAGCCGACACCGTGTACAACCAGCTCCTGTTTGAGAATCAGTTTATTTGCGACGACCAAGCGGACCTGTTTCCATGGCAAGGGAAGCAGCGACACAGGATCTACAAAATTGGCCTTGTGGGACGAAAATACTAAGGACTGCAGGGGCGAGAAGAAGATGGCATAGGGAAGATTCTCTCTCTCTCTCTCTCTCTCTCTCTCTCTCTCTCTCTCTCTCTCTCTCTCTCTCTCTCTCTCTCTCTCTCTCTCTC